TACCCTTTCTTCCATTGCCTTTCTTCCCAAACCCTTGCTTCTCTCTCTGCATCGAACTTGAGAAAGACCCCCTGACGACATTACCTACTGATCATCCTCTCAAAAGTCAGAAGAGAACGAGAAGGAGCTGACCATTTGATAGAGAAAACAAAGAAAATGGGATTAATGGTTTCGAACTCCTTAGTGCTTTTATAAGCCTCTCATTTTCTTTTGTGTCTGCTTTCAGGAGTTGAATTGCTTGGTTTCACTCATAATAATCACAACGTGGGAGGACGTGACTTTTGGTTTTCTAAAAGAAGTGACTTTTAGATTTTCTTAAACAACAGATAATTAGGAAAAATATGGTAAAAAGCCAAAAAGTTGAGGACAAAGATAATTGTGTTAAGGACATGTAGTCCCGAAGTCCTAAAGTTAAATTCAAAAGTTAAGGACATGGTCCTGAACTTAGAGTTTCAAGTTCAAAATGTAAGGAAATGTAGTCATGAATTCCTAAAAGTAAGTTCAATAGTTAAGGACACAAGTTCAAATGTTAAGGACAGGCAGTCCTTAACTTACAGTTACAAGTTCTAAAGTTAAGGACAGGTAGTCCTTAACTTATAGTTACAAGTTCAAAAGTTAAGGACAGGCAGCCCTTAACTTACAGTTACAAGTTCAAAAGTTAAGGACAATAGGTCCTTAACTTTGATTTTCAAGTTCAAAAGTTAAGGACAAGCAGTCCTTAACTTACAGTTACAAGTTCAAAAGTTAAGGAGAATAGGTCCTTAGCTTTGACTTACAAGTTCAAAAGTTAAGGACGCTTGGTCCTGAAGTTTGAGTTCCAAGTTCAAAAGTTAAGGACATGTAGCCTTGAAGTCCTGAACTTAGAGTTACAAGTTCAAAAGTTAAGGACATGTAGTCCTAAAGTCCTGAACTAAGAGTTCCAAGTTTAAAAGTTAAGGACATGTAGTCCTGAAGTCCTGAAGTTAAGTACAAAAGTTAAGGACATGAGCAGAAGGGTATTTTCGTCCGGGCAGTTAAAGTTTATTAAAGCAGTGGCTAAAGACTAAAGACATTTTAAATGGTGGCTTAAAAGTAAATACATGTGCTATTAGTGGCCAACCGTGCACTTCCCCCTATTTGTAGCGAGTCCGGAACCAAAATGTTATTATTTTGGACTCAAAAGACACAAATAAGTGTAAAAAAAAAAGTGACCATAATATATATAACGCCAGAAAACCTAGCGCTATATAATAACGGTAACTGCACCGTTAATATATAGTGCCAGGTTTTTTGGCGTTATACTGACACAGTGATATAGCGCCAGAAAATCTGGCGTTATACCCTTTTTTTCCTGACCCCAGCAATAATAGCAGAGTACAATAATTCAAAAGCGTATAGTGCCAACTTATTTGGCGCTATATATGTAAAAAAAAAATCTTCCCGGCTCTCCATTTTCTATATAAAGAGGTTAGAATCGCATAGAAATGCATTCAAAATTTTTTTTAACTCTTGTTGAACGTCTGTTGTTGTTAAATTCTCCAGCAATTTTTTATTATGTCTGAAGAGCGTAGGATAAGAGTTTCATTATATTGGGGTGGTGAGGTTGTGATGGAGAATAACTCCGTGGGCTAAAGTTTACCTGCTAAGTGTCATGTTAAATTGCCACTGACAATGGAGTGCGATACATTCATATCGTTGTTATGCAAAAAAATGAGTGTGAGGAAACGTTCGGTGATACTTAAAGTAACCGGAAGATATTCTTATTCCGTCACTCCGCAAGGGGTTGCTTTTTACTCGGAGTTTAACATCGACGATGATGAAACTTTGAGTGATTTTTTGAGGACTCCGGACGAATGTCGGGATTTTCTTGTAATCACAATGTTGGAGATGTACGTGAAGGTCGAAGACGTTCCAAAAAATGAGGTTGTGCGTAGTAGAGATAACCCCCAGTCATCGGGGGGTTATTCTGGAACAGTTTTTGCCGGACAAGTTCCGGATGAAAGAGTTATCTTTGATTTAAACTTATCACCGCCGGTGAATGAGCAGCGAGAAAATAATTTATACCCTGCTTTCCATAACTCACAAGACGAGTGGTAAATTTCAATTTTCATTTGTGTTAATTATGTATATTTTTGTTGTATTGAATTTGTATTAACGCTCACATATTTAATAGGGGGTACCGGCCGGATATGAATTTTACAAGTGGCCCATCCGGTAGTCATCACCTAATTGATAACGTCCATCATGGAATTTTATCACATTACGACTTGTAAGTGAAGTGATTTACGCAAAATATGGAAATCATTTATTAATTTAGTAGCTTATATTTTTGTTGGTTGTGCAGTGAAAACGAGCAAGTTGAACTCACTCAATTGCCCGAAAATGATGTATTACATCGGGACCTGGCAGATGCACAGAGTGAGGAACAGAACAGTGATTACGATAACAATGCGGATGAATCCGGGGATGAGACACCCTTTGCTCGTGAGGATGGTGATGCAGAGGATGAGGAGGAAGGACCTGATTTGAAGAGAGACCCCCCTAGACGAAGAGTGTATGAGTCCGAAGTGCCGTTTCATTCAAGAGAGATTCCTTACATTGATAACTTGCCAACCGTGCCGGATGTGGAAGCTCTCACAAGGGATTTTGATGAAATCCGGACAGCAATGTGGGATGAGTCTAGACCAACGGTGCTTGCAAAGGGGATGCTTTTTCCTGATAAAGCGCGCCTAAGCAGGGCTTGTAAAATGCACAACGTAAAAGAGTGTCATGAGATGCAGGTATGGGAGTCAAGTCCGACGGTATACAAGGTTGTTTGCCGCAGGTGGTTTTGGCCATGTAATTGGATGTTGCGTGCGACCAAGAAGAAGACAGGTATGTGGAAAGTGGGTAAATACATTCCCACCCACACATGCGAAATGGACACATTCAACGGGAATCACTTCAACTTGGATATTGACTTGATTTCTCTTGTTCTTATTCCACACATCGAACAGTCCATAAGGTATAAAATCAAAGAGTGCATTACATCAGTCCAGCAGGAACATGGCCATACCATACTTAAAAGAAAGGCATTTCTCGGGCGCAAACGAGCGTTTGAAATAGTGTATGGTAACTGGGATAAGTCATTTGCAGATCTGCCTAGGGTACATGGCTGCACTACAGCATTTTAACCCCGGGACGGTTGTTGAGTGGAAGCTTGAGCGAAGTGCAGGTAGACCAGAATATATATTCAATTACGTGTTCTGGGCGTTTAAACCAGCAATTGATGGTTTTTTGCATTGTCGCCCTGTAATATCCATAGACGGCACTCATGTCTATGGAAAGTACGATATCAAGCTGTTAATAGTCGTGGCAGTAGATGCTAATGGACAGATATTTCCTCTAGCTTTTGCTATTTGTGCCAATGAAAGCCAAGAGACGTGGACGTTGTTTTTGAACCGTATGAAAGAGCACATTGTGAAACAGCGTTCCGGTATCTGTCTAATATCTGATCGGCACGGTGGTATCTTAAGTTCTGTGGAGAACTTAAGATAATTATCATTAATAATTATGTATTTTTTTTATAATTTAAATTCATATTTTTTAGTAACTTAATTGTACAAATTACTTACGTATGGGTTCCGGGCTCGATATTTTTGAGGCCCAGCGGCTATATGTTTTTTTTTTTTAATTGAAATTCATATTTTTTAATAACTCAATTGTATAAATTTTTTATATATATATATATATAAGTTCCGGGCTCCATATTTTGAGGATCAAAATACCAGTATAAGATACTAAAACAAAAGGAATTCTAAGCTAAAATACTACACATTACTACGCTACAATGCTCTAAATTTTACTACGCTAAAAGGGTCTACGTTTTACTACGCTAAAAAGGTCTAGATTTTACTACGCTAAAAAATAATCTAAACTAAACATAAACAACAAATAAATTTAATTGCAAATAAAACACAAAACGGCATGAAAGCACATATATATAAATGAGAATATTAACAGACAAATTTATTTGACAAATTTATATTTTTATATAAAACAGTAAAATTAAATCCGGATAAATTTAAGATGCTAATTTCGAAAACAAAACACAAACCGAAATAGAACACATACAAATCAAATAATATGCATTATTATAAAAGTTTCAACTTAAAATAAATCGAAATACCTCGATTTAGAATTTTCGGAAATCAAATAGATCGAAATTTTGACTCCGAAAGCGTTAACCAACAATAACAAGAAGCTCTACTCGAGTGTGGGACCTACGATCTTCAAGTTTTATGTGCCGGGGGGACCCAAATTTTTTTTTTTTTTTATATTGGCGGACAGTTTACAGTGGGGGGACCAAGGGTGGGAGTAAAATATTTGAAGAAGGAAGGCGACGGGTGAAGAAGATGGAGGGAATTTTTATTAAGGGGTATAACGCCAGATTTTCTGGCGCTATATCACTGTGTCAGTATATAACGCCAGAAAACCCGGCGCTATATATTAACGGTGCAGTTACCGTTATTATATTGCGCCAGGTTTTCTGGCGTTATACATATTATGGTCACCTTTTTTTTTACACTTATTTGTATCTTTTGAGTCCAAAATAACAACATTTTGGTTCCGGATTCTATTTGTAGCCATTTTATGACCGATACTTTTTAGACTTTTTTTTTGGGGTGGGGGATGGGGTAGGGGGTTGGTAAATACCTTGCTTAAGTTAACTCGTTGGTTCAAGGGGTTGGACTGGTCTGGTTGGCTCGTGGGCAAATCTGTTTCAAAATATATTCAATCCCCATATCAAAAAGTTTTATAAATGAAACTTTTATATGAACGAATAAAAATTTGTAGTACTTTGCATAATGAAAAATATTACACAAATTAATATGTGTCGTCTATTTCCCAAAAAATATAAATTGTCTTGGATATTCATAAACATAGGGGACTAAAGTGTCTTTGTAATAAGGAGATTTCTGTGCACCTGAGTCGTTAAGAGTTGTGGGGTTTAGTACAATTTATTTTATATTTTTGGTACAAGTGTATCCTCAAATTTAATGGTATTTATTTTGCTAATAAATCCCCAGACTAAATACAACCTCAGAGCAGCTAGCAAAGCAGCCACCAAACACTCCTCTAAGCTTACTCTTTCTCAATCGCCGTTTCTCTCTCCAACATGCATAGACAATCTCTGGGCTCACCGGGATCCAAGTTACTCCACCCACATGGAGTGATCATCGTCGGCGGCAGAGACGATTCCTCCGCCGTCGTCACGGCGGGGGCGGACTCTCAGAAGATAATGTTGATGAAGGACCAAGCCGCCTCTGCTTCACTCTTAGAAGATGAACAAGTACGCAAGTCAATCAAGTCTCTCAATAAGTCATTGTTCAGAGCTGAGAAGTATATTCACCTCATTCCTCTTCTCACTTTCCTCTGCTTCCTCATCCTCTACCTCTCCTCGCATAATCCTTCTGATAAAGGTACATTATACTACTGTGATTCAGAGAAAAACGAACTCGTGATACTTCCTTTTTTTTTTTTAATCTATTTTGCTGATTTTTATGCTTCTTTTCAGATTTAGCTCAATTTCATGGATTTGAAGGCTTCGCCAAGCCTATAGGTAAGTATATATAATGCACATTCCGTTTCTCCGTTTTGGAAATTTGTTTTTCAATTTATGTTTCAGATTCAGTTCCATTATACTAAAGTATTTATCACTTTCACTCAAAAATTCGATTTCGATGTGTCTTCCGTGTAATTTTTGTCTGCTCTAATGACTGCTTTTTTGTTATGTGTGTGCAGAATCAGCAAATATTGATGACGAGTTGCAGAGAGTGTTAGAAGGCGATGTTTTAGCGATCGGAAGCATAAGGAACTTGCAAGAGATTGATAAGCAGGATCCAAATCATCGGCTCCACCGGAAACTCGCCGATTTTTAAGCCGATGTTTTGTGTTTCTCCCTCTTCTTTATTATTCTCCTCATATCACTCGATATAGCTCTATTCATGGCGAATTCCCCGTCGGCGGAGCTCTCCCACGTGCGTAACTCGGTCCCCTGCCAATTTTACCGTGTTTTACTTGGAAAGTATTTACCACGCGTTTCTTTTGGTTAATTGGTCATTTGGCTGTTTACGGAACAAACTTAACCGCGTGTGCACTACTACTTCTCTTGTAAATATTTTACTTTATTTATTTGATGTACCAAAAACAGAATATTCTCTGCCAATCCAAGTTTTGGGGTACGTAAATGGAAACTAAAAAGGAAAATGTAAAAAATCGTATGGTGTTGTACCAAAAAGTCTTAGGTGAAACCGACAGTTTTTCCCAGTCAATCTTTAGGAATTTAAATCAGTAGATAATACAAAGTATCACTGATTGCTTGGTTGTCTGGTTTGAGGAATAAGAACAATTATCGGTATCAAATTCTGCAATATTACTTTACTGATGTAGTGTGTGCACTAGAAACACAATGTTGCACTTTCACTATTGCTAACATTATGCTAGAATTTATGTGTTTTTATTTTATTTTACAAAGTATAAGTTGGATAACAATTCGTGTATGAACAACCTTTTAACAATGTTTACATTTTAATTCTTGGAACCTAATTCAGCCAATATCAGTATTTTTTTTTAACCTTTCTCTTCTTTCTCAATACTGGGGACCACTCTAAACTGAGACTTACATAATTAAAATAAAAATACAAAAAGATGTACAGTAGTTATGGATAGGGAAGAAAGGTAAAGTGAGGCAGAGCAGATATGAATGATGTGAATGGGAAACAGCTGGAAAGTTGTAACCGTTACAAGTGCCTCGTGTTTCGTTTAGAATTGCCAGCTGGGAAAGACTTTTACTCAGATTCCCCATTGGCTCCTCCTCCCTCATTAAATTCTCGATTCTCTTTCTCTTTATTTCTCACCCACAAGTTCACCTTTCCTATGTGATATTCATGCTTTACTACACTTCTCTTTTCCCATTATAAATGCTCCTTTTTTATAACGGTAGAATATAACCCTTTTTCTCAACATTTGGTGGAGGAATCTGCTTCTCTAATTTTTACATAAAATTATTTCAATGTCCATATCGTAATAGGCGGTAGTCTTTTTCCAATTTTCAAATATATGACCGTGCCCTTCGATTTCGTCTTTGTTTGGTAAATTTCCTCTATTTTATGAGGACAATATTAGGTGCATTGAAGAATCAGCATGTGATGTCTGGTCGAAGGCTTGATTTTTAGCAACTATTTCTGATATAAAAGAATTTTGCCATCTACCTATTATTCATTGACTATAAGTTTCTGCTCACCTTCTCGATAAATTTATCTATCCATGTTCCCTATGTTCCAATTTCCATATTTGTTACTCCTTCCGATCCAAAATAAGTGATTTTTTGGTATTTTTTTTGTGGTCCAAAATAAGTGATTTTTTTAAATTTCAAGAATGAAATAATTATTTTTTTCCTACATTGTCCTTGGAGTAAATAGTGTTGGAATATGTATTAGGAGTGTTTATGTGAGATAGTAAAGGTTAACATGGTCAATTGTATTGCTAATTAATGCTAAAAGATGGATTTTTTAATCTATGTGAAAACATCCAAAAAATCACTTATTTTGGACCGGAGGGAGTAGTAATATTTTTCACTGCTTGATTGTCAATTCAACCAATCCTTCAAATTGAATTGGACCAAATTAATCTATTATTGTACATTAAAACACGGCTTTAAACTTTGCAAGAAAAGTGTTATTATATAATAAGGTAAAATATGTTCATATTAAATGATCATGTAAGACAGGGACATGTGGAGCCGAACACAGAAAACAGTCAGAAAGGTAGGCAACGATCTCATTTGTTACCGGAGAGACAAATATTCATAGAGTCGAAATAAATGTCTGCCACCCGTTAGCATTCAATGAAGAATATTTTGTAGCATTAAGTGCACGGTCCGTTACAGAGATTATGGCACTCATTGCCTTCGATTACACATTTTTTAATGGCCCTCATAATTGTCATTTAAGAGATGTTTGATCCTAGGATCTTGTCCGCTAGGTGCAGCTATATAGTATGCTCTACCATCATTGTAAATGACACGAATTTTCTAGCAAACTTATACTACAATCAATCCAAAGCTCTATATATTTTTATCTTCTTATTACTTGATTTGACCGCTGTTGTGCCCAGATGCCTTGCTCCCAGAATCACTATTTTTGTTATCTTATCTTCATTCCAAGGCTAAGTATTGTATTTTTCTTCAATTATTTTATTATTTCAGGATCAAATTAATCCGCTTATTTAGAAACCATGTATAAATTCAACTATACTGTTTTACGGGTAAACAATTTGGCGCCCATCGTGGGGCCTAGACAGCTGCGTATTTAAGTTGATCGTTGTCTCTTTTACTAATGGGTTCTGATTAGGAAAAAGGTCATTATTACCCCTGTACTATTGTAAATAGTACACGTTTGTCCTCCGTTTCACTTTACGTCCAAAATCCACCCTACCGTTAACAAACTTGATGAAATTGCCCCTAACCCTAACGGATCTCCAATGTGCCAGCTGACCCTCTCCTTTTTTTCCATGTCAGCTGCCAAGTCACTTATTTACTCAATTAAAAAAAATTAAAACATATCCCCCCAACCCCAACCCCTCCGGGCTCCCTACTTCTTCTTCTTCCATGAGTTCTTCATCTTTGCTTCAAATTTTTCAATCCAAACAAGGCCAAGTTTTTCATCAAACTGACTCAAGTTGCAACCATAACTTCTCAACATTAATATTCTCAACAAATTCCAGCTAACACTTTGCTTAAACTTCACCAAATTAGAATACCCATTTTATGTTCTCAAACATTCTTACAAATCCTTCAATGGAGATTTTTTTTTTCCAAATCTATAAATATCAGTGTTATTCTTCCCATTTCAAGCTCCAATTTTTATTTTTATTCACTCGATTTCGGTAGGAAACAAGCAAGAATTTCAAATTCTTGAGTTTTTTCAACTTCAAATTTTGGCAAACCAAAAAGTGGAGTACAAATTTGTTATTCACTTAAATCCACGAAATTAATGTTTGATTCATGATTTTAAGCTCCAAACAACAACACCCAGCTGATTTCCTCCATATATAACCAACAAATCGAATTGTCAACTTCAATTTTTCGACACCCAGAGAATACACCATAGTGGGTTTCGAGATTCTCACCACTGAATTTCCAAACTTGAAATAGAGATTAGAATGCACGTCCAAACTACTATAGCAACAACACAATTGAAAATTTGACGAAGCTTACCAATTTCACAATAGAAAAATCACAGTAGTAGGATAACGAGCAACGTCCAAAACAACAGGGTCGCCGGAAACTTAGCAGTCACTAGAGTTCGTGTATTCTGGCCAGATTAAGAGAAAAGAAAGGCCACCAAATGACATACCGGTCACATCCATTCAGATCCAACCAGATCCAAGGGTTTCGGATGGACCTTCAACGAGATAGAGTTTCCAGTGATAGAGGTTCCACGTTTTGGTCATTGCTTTTGTTGTAATTCAAGGAGAAAGAAAGAGAAGGGGAATAGTTGAGTGGAGACTAGGCTGACTTGACAGCTGACATGAAAAAAATGGAGTGGGTTAGCTGCCACATCGGTGATCCGTAAGGGTTAGGGGCAATTGCATCAAGTTTGTTAACGGTAGGGTGGGTTTTGGACGTAAAGTGAAACAGAGGACAAACGTGTACTATTTAGAATAGTATAGGGGTAGTAATGGCCTTTTTCCCTTCTGATTATTTGTCTTTGCAAAAACTCATAACGGTTGGCAGACAATGGTGTTAACAACACGTACAATCCTAAGGGTCAAGGAGACCAGCTTCATCATGAGGATTCAATCAATGACACCTACAATGAGGGGAACGCCGCCTCACCGGTCCATGATAGGCGTTATCCACGACATGTGATGCGGAAGAAGAGCATGTTGTTGATGCGGTGAGGGTCGTAAAAGAGCAACAAACAATCATGCAAGGCTATGACAGAGTTGAAACAGGTGTTGTCGGAGGCTTCCAATAACACCAATAGGCGAGGTCCAGCTCCTCCCGGCACTCCCGCAAATAAAATAACATAGAAGGTTGACAGCAACACCTCGAGGGGCGGGGCTAGTTCAGATGGAGCTGGGGTGCAGATCCGACCCCAATAACGAAAACGGTCCCTTCAAGAATGAACTCTTACGGTTTATGCGAGAAGTGAACGCCCGCATGGATCAAATCTCGGGCACGCCACCGGTGCTAAAAGGCTCAGACTCAAAAAAGTATACTTAGTTGTCGTGCGAATATCATACAATGGAGGGTATTGGAGCAAGCCAAACTCACCAGAAGCATCATTCCGGCCACAAAACTCCTTGCCAGGTTCAACCTCGTGAGCGTGACAACCCGAGGGGAGATTTTGCTACCCACGAATGTTGAAGGAGTGATGAAAATGACTCTTTTTGAAGTGGTAGATGGTGATATGGGATATAATATTATTCTGGGAAGACCTTGGTTGCACGAGATGAGAGTAGCACCGTCAACATATCATCAATTGTTGAAACTCTCAATGCTCGACGGAATCAAACAGATAAGGGGCGATCAACCGGCGGCAAGAGAGATGAATGCAATTTAAGTCTCCAGTAGCAAAGGGAAGGAGCATGCAGCATAACAATTACAAGAATCGGCACCTGCTCTCGGATCAAGTGAAATTAACCGGGGGGAAGAAGCGTCGGAATCTCATCAGGTGCCAAGATACTTCCAGGTGCCGGAAGAGACGGATGCAACAAAATCCACAGCGGAAGAGATTGATCAAGTTACATTGTTTGAAAAATTCCTAGAGAGGAAATTCCACTTGGGGACAGGACTGCACCCCGATCTCAGGTATGGCTTTATTGAATGTCCTATGTATAATGCCGATTGTTTTGATGGTCGCATGCGAATATGACAGGTATCCTAACGGAAGTAGCTGTGCACAAGCTAAGCTTGGATCCAAACGTCCCTCCGGTAAGACAAAAGAAATGCCCAATTACGGAAGCCAGGAATAAATTCGTCAAAGAAGAGGTAACTTGCTTACTTGATATCGGTTCGATCTGAGAGGTAAAGCATCCAGATTGGCTAGCCAATATAGTGGTAGTTCCTAAGAAGAACAATAAATTTTGCATATGTGTATATTATAAGGACTTGAATAAGGCGTGCCAAAAAGATCTGTTCCCACTGCCAAACATCGAACATATGATTGACGTGACGGCTGGGCACAAATTAATGAGTTTCCTCGATGCTTACTCCAGGTACAACCAAATTAAGATGAACCCGGAGGATTAGGAAAAGACCTCGTTCATAACAAACATCGGCAAATATTGCTATAATGTGATGTTCTTCGGACTAAAGAACGCTAGAGCCACTTATCAGCAGCTCATAAACAAGATGTTTGAAAAA